ATCCAACGCAACTGACTCTAGTCAGTCATGTTTTAGTGTATGTAGCCCCTCAGAAATAAATGAAATTTTTATTAAAAAATGCATTCCACTGATATTCTTCAATATGGTTTTTCAAGCTTGCATGCTAGGATAAGATGCTTTGAATGCTAATTGCATATAAAATGAAAAATAAACCTTTACAAGCAAGATCTTTTGAAGCCAAAAATTCAGTGATGGAGCAAAAGAGTTTAATTCAGAAAAGGTTCTTGGGTGAAGCTTATTGGATTGGATTGATAGTAGATCAACCAAGACCAGGTGGTAGTGGGAACGCTAAGGATAGCTTTTTTATATGAAGACGTATTTCGTGAAAATAAGGGAATTGATATAATGCTAATTAAAAAATTGCATGTTATTCTTTGTTGAATTTTCAGTGGTTTTCAATTAGAAATTTTATAATTTCGGTATTATTGTTTTAAAACTGCCAGATATTTTGTTAAATGTTACTCCGGGTACTACATTTCTCAAAGTCTGCATAAATATTAATACATGGATATCTTTAGTCTGCATAAATATTAATACATGGATACCTTTTAGTGGAAAAAATGATATTGTCTATTAGTATTTTGTAAGAGGAAACTCAAGAAGTAAAAACGATTATAAGAGTTATCGCCAAAACCACGGAAAAAAAAATAAGTCAATCTAAATGCAATAAAGATTGCATAAGCATTTAGTTTCTTTATTGCATTGCATAAGATTGCAAATGCAATAAAGAAACTAAAACAAAATAAAATAAAACAACCGTTGTACACTTCTGATCCATTAATGTCTAGGTAAAGAAAAACAGGAATAAAAAAAAAAATATTTCCTTTTTTTTTTTTTTTTTTTATTAAGTTTTGAAACTATTATGTTGTCTTGATATATAAAAAAGTTATGAGTTTTGTTTGTTTTGTTTTAAAACTGCCAGATATTCTAAATTATGCATAGTTTTATTGCATTTTGGACTGTTAGGAAACAAGTAAATTGATTGTAAACAAGTAATAAATTTATGAATAAAAAAATTGATTGTTCAACTACTATAAATTTCAATTAAATATATTGCTATGGTTAATTAGTTTTGCTATGCAAAATTAATAAACATTAGGTGATATACCAACTAATTTAGCAAAATTAAGTAACCATAGTAACCAAGTATAAAGAATCGCTTTTATAAGAAGCAAAGACCTCATATTAATACACATGTCAAATATTGTGTACGTAGCACAAATGAAAAATCTACCAGAAATAGGTTGTTGTAATACAAAACTAAGTATAAAAGTTCTCAATTTCATAAGAAGTGCAGACCTCATTTTGATACTCTGGCTATATTTGGTAAATACAGTACTAATATTAAATTAGTTATTAATTTTGTCTCAAAATTGACTATTCTGGCTCACTTTGCGTTTGCAAAAGATCACAATGAGTTCAGGATATCTGTCTGCTTTATTTGTATAAAAAATACTGACGGCGAAATGACAGATTCCTACAGGAAAAAGACTTTGGAAGCTTCAAAAAATATCAACTTTGACAATGACAGAATTCCAATTGGAATTTGCATGGCTTGTCGTTTCAAAATAAATCAATCATGTGACAAGAAATCAGTGCAAAATCTGCCAAAACTTTTCAATTTTGAATCCATTCAAGATACAACTTTGACAAACAAGTACCTGTAACTACTTAATTTGCCAAATTGAAAAAACAAAAGAAATCATGCATTGCAAAGAAAAACATGCATTGCAAAAGCAAAAACAAGAAGATGCTAGCAATTATCATGCGCAAACAACAGAAAAACGTTGTACAAGTTGCCTTTCAGTAGTTGCCCGCGGTCTACCTCATCATTGTAATCAAGGAATTTGTCATCAAAACCACCAATGGCAGATTCTAATAGAACTGAGCAGATTGCGTAATCAGTGATTTCCTCTATAGATTCATCACTAAGAGGAATAATTCGAATTAGTCAACTCTATGGCTCAAGATTGGCTGTGAGAAAAGGTTAAACACAAAAACAATTTTCAGAATAATTTTAAAATCACATTAGTTAATGATGAACAGTTTTTAGGTTCCTCGTCACGATCACAACAATAATTTTAAACACCTTTAAGCACTCAAAAATTGGATGTCATTCAACAAAGAACAGGACTTTTAAACACAGACATGAGAAAACTTTGATCTGGTCTTAACTAAATTAGCCCCATTCGACTGGTTGAGGCAAATTTTTAACAATAGCAGTTGATTGAGGCAGTTGCACAAAATACTTCAGAAACATATGAAAATGTTAAAAATATTTTTGATCTCATTTAAGAAGAAAAAACTTGCTCTCTAAACCCCTTGATTGTCTCATGTGATCTTAAACTGGCAAATATCATATGTGTTGAATTCAGTCACATGCCAGCAAGCACCCATGTTGTCGGTGTGAAGTTAAGTAATCAGAACTCTATGAGTGTGGTGAGATGAGAACCTTTGGAAAAATCAGAAAACATTTTCAGGACTTCCTCAACAGCGGAGGAAACACAAAGAGTGCCAAATCATTTTAAAATGCTGGGCATCATCCACTTTTTTACTTTTAAAGACCAAAAAAGTGTTTTGGAAGTGATTCTATCAATCGAATTGGATTAGCTGATTGGTGTTGTCAATTATATTGTAAAAAATCTTGCTAAGATGTGGCCAAAAACAGTTGATTGGCTCGCTTCACACTCCTTTTTTGTCTTACCATGGGGGACACTACAATGAAAATGATTGCATGAAGCTGTTGAGGAAAGTAGATGGGTCAAAAGATTTAAATGAGTCTGAGAATGCAAAATAAGAATTGGATTTTTGTAACTGTTTGGCATTGTTCAAGGATGTTGTTTCTGCTTGCTTTGGCTGTACCTTGGTTCTGGAATATGGGTTGAAAATTGAAAAATTTAAGACAATTTACCTGAAGTTGCAAATTTCAGTTACATCAAAAGCTCATGCAATCTTTTACCATGTGCCACAATTCATTAAAAAGAACCATATGTCACTTGGGTTCTACAATGTACTTTTACTTCAAAACCCATTGGGAGAGATGTTTGAGGTAAACTAGGTGAGAACGTGATAGCTCTCACTCAGTTTACCCCAAACAACTTTTGAACTGTATTTTGGATAACAACAGCAAAAAAGTTCAAAGTTATTTTTTAGTCACAGAATGTTTGTATTCAATATGAATATTGAAAATTCTTTTGAATTGCTTTTTATGAAGCTTAGAATATTAAAATTTTATTTTATGTTTAAAGAATAACATTTTTGAATATGTTCTTATTTTGCTTGAAACAAATTTTTGTAATCGGGAGAATTTTTTTATATAAAATTAAAAAAAAATTTTTGAGAATAGACCCTTGTGGGATACCACAAGTAATTTTTGACAAAATCATTTGGTGAAAAAGTTTATATCAATGGATAAAAATTATTTTATCTTCCGGCTAATCACTATTTAAACGATATTTCAAAGGAACCCTTTAGTTTTACACATTCAAACATTTCAGTAGCATTAAAATTTAAAGAAATGAAAAAATGCAAAACTTTTGCATCTTCAACCTTACGTCATTAATTATCGCATAATTAACTAAAAAACAGCAACAAGTATAACTAATTGCTAAATTTTTCAAATAAGTCAAATTTTTCAAAAACATTGTTTGTTATATGAAGTGTGTGCTGAGTCAAAAATAAGACTGATATATTTTTTTTTTTATACGTTGGAATTTACAGTTTAGTATGACGCCTAAAATAAGTGACGAAATTGCTAAAGTTTTTTGAATTTTAACTTAAATAGGACACCATTGTAAAAAATTTTTGACTCAGCACATTCATCTAAGTAACTTCTATCTCTTTAAAAAATTAAAAAAAAAAATAATAAATTAAACCGAAAATATCTTTGTTAGAAGGAGGAAATTTTTTTAACGAAAAACACAAAAACAAATAAAATAACATTAAAAAAAACTGACTTTTAAAGAAAAAAAAAACAACATTTATTCCGTTGTACATTTTTAATTGTTAAAAAATAACAAAAATTTGTATTTTTCAGATTTTCAATAGTGGGTAACCACCTTAAAACATTTCCAGTTATTTTATAATATTTGACTATTTTAAACAGAACTTAGTGGTGAATCAAAAGCTTTTGATAAGTCAATGAAGATGCAACTTAGTATTACTACGTATTAACTTGGTAATGCGTACCAAGTTGGTACGCATACTTGGTAACATTGGTAATTTGAGTTATGTAGTTTTTTTTTGGTAATGCGTGTTGTGTAGTTGTTTTTTTTTTTTTCCAATCTATTATGATGGTTGAATAAAAAATTATTGTCAGTAAGATGAGTATAAACTCTGTTCTAGATAACTATTTTAAATAATTTTTTGGTAGAATTTATTTGTCGAACTTGAACAGTTTGTTTACGTAGAAAACCTTAGTGTTTTGTTATGAACAGATTGCTTACGTAGAAAACCATAGTATTTTGTAGTGAACAGCTTGCTTACGTAAAGGTAAACATTAAGTTTAGGTGGTTTCTAAGTTCTTTACCTTAAGGTGAGTTTTCACTCATTGGTTTTTTTACGGGAACGAGACAGGAAAAGGAAATATAATGACGTGAGCATGCTTAGTTTTACTTCGAACAAAGTATAACTTATAATACGCATGCCCATGTGATTATTTTTCCCTTACCTTTCCCGTTCCCGTGAAAAAACGGATAAATGGAAACTCACCATAAGTGCAAAATCCATTTGGTAAAACTTGCCCTCTATTGTTAATTTCCATTCGGTAAAACTCTCCCCTAAATGTTAATTTATATACACTAATGAATTATGCTTACCATTTTGATGATAATAATAAACTTATCCTTAATATTGTTACATATTGTGTTATTAATATCTTTTTTTGATTTTTGAAAAAATAACTTCTCATAAAGTTTTTTAGTGAATTCCTTCGGTGCGATAATAATTTTTTTTAAAACTGGTATAATAAAGAGTTGTCATGCATTTTAGGTGTATCTAAGAAATACAAAGAAAACTTATTACATCTCTAGATTCACATAGACTATTAAAATGTGTATTATCTATATCTCACTGGTAATTGAACCAATACCAACGTTTGTCGGTATAATTAAACCAATACCAACGTTTGTCGGTATAATTAACGTTTGTCGGTATAAATAAACCAATACCAAAATGTATCGGTATAATTAACAGTATAATTAACATAAAATATAACACAAAACTTATCATAAATCAGTATTATTAAAATTCACAACAGATAAAACAAGTAACTTATCAACTTATCACGTTAAGACGATAAAACAGGTAACTCATCAACTTATATCGCCATGACGGCAAAGCACAAATAAGTTAAAAAAATAATTATAAATTGCGAGGTAAAAAAAATTAAAAAATTAATAAAAGAAAAATATTATATAATTATCATTAATCAAAGCCGAATTTATGATTTTGATTTTCGACTAAAAAATATATAGAAAATCTAAATATATATATATATAAAAAACATAAAAGTTGAAAACAAATTTTAACAGCAAAATATTATTTGCTCTATATCCAGTTAGTATCGTCATCATCATCACCAAATAATGGCGGAGGGCTGCGACTATGTGCTGCTTTAATATTCTAAAACATGTGTTTTAATTTAACTTTTTTTTTTTTTTTTCATATACCATCTATTTATATATGTAATATTATATAAATATATAGTTTGTATATATGTTTTATAAAATTTGGTTCATTAACGTTAAAGCGAAAATAGATAAAAGATAAAAACCAGGCTGTCTAACAAAAAAAAATTAAACTCGCTTAAACCTTTTATGCTTTTAAACTTTTCGCTTTAACGCTTCTACTCTTTAGTCCTTAATAAAAAAAGGGGGTGGGGGGTGAAGTGGGTGGGTGGGGACGTTTAATAATTTTTGGAAATTTTACCCACCCACCCTATAAAACTAGAAAATAATTATTTCAGTCATAAAAACTTTCAGTGTAAACAGGTTTTTAAAATCGTCGACCTAGTAAACCTTAATTTGTCAAAAATGAGCTTTTGAATTATTTCTCAATAAATTATAAAACTAATACCAGCATAATAAATCCTATTTAAGTTATGATTAAATAGCTGTTAGAAAACGCACATTTGACCGCAAGCCACATTAGAATTAAATAGTTTTATGTGTGTTTTGTAAAAAATATTAGGATTTAAAAACTGAAATTTTTCATTTAAAATATTTATATTGTAACATAACAAAACTTTCGACCAACCATCCTGCCCCGTTTTATTAACCCCCCCCCTCCCTTTTATTCCCACCCCCTCCCCTCTTTAAATTAAGGACTTGAGAGCTACAATAAAATTTATATTTAATGAAAAAATATTGAACTATAATAACCCCATTTATAAAAACAAGCAAATATATGCATCATAAATGTTACTTTGAACTAAAGTCTAATTACCATTGTATCCACTTTCATTAAGGCATCGTCCATAAAGTACGTACACTCGGATGGGGGAGAGTTTGCAAATAGCGTATATAAAATGGGGGGCAGGGGTCAATTTTATAAGTAAAGAGACAATAAATAAAAAAAATTATCGTAAAATGTTAGGTAGATAGGTTAAAAACGTAGGTACTTTTAGGAAGGTGAAGGGTACTTAAAAACGTATAACAAAATGTGGGAGGGGGGAAAAGGGGTCGAACTAAAAGCGTACGTACTTTATGGACGACCACTAGATAATTCTATACCTTGTTAACAAACATAGTGTCGTCATTAGAATCACCAAAAAGAGACTCCGATTGACCCGAAGGTTTTTGAACTTCCACATTTTTAGTCACCTCCAAACTTTGTTTTTCCAAAGTATTTGTGAGTGATTGTGTAAGCTTATTATGTGTGATTTGATATTTCTCATTTTCAATCTCTTCTTTACGTGAAGGAAGTTTGAGGAGTTGAGAAGTTTGAGAAGTTTGAGAAAGTTGAGGAGTTTGAGAAGTTTGAGAAGTTTCAACTTTATCTATATAAGAAGTTGATGAATTTTTTGACGAGTCTTTTGTTACATTGTTGATATCTGCATCTAAAGGTGCGTTAATTTCTTCAGGTTTAGATAACGTTTTAGTTGAAAGATCACTATTATTTTGGTTATTATCTTCACTTGGAATTTCTCTTTCTTCCTCTTCTTCCTCTTCTTCAGAACTGTCATCTTCGTTGCTGCTTGGATTTTCTTCGTTCATTTGTAAAGTCACTTTCTGCAATAATAACATAAAAATTTTTTTTGACTTATAACAAAAAAAATTCATCTAAAAGCACTAAAGAAAACAATTGCAAAGAAATTCAAAAAATTCCAAAGAGAACATTAAAAAAACAAAATACACTATATAAGACACAAAAATACACAAAGCGTTGTCACAAAAAAACTCAATTAAAACAAAAACAAAAACTACATCAAAAAGAATAATTAGTAAATAAGTAAACAAAAAGCAAAACAAGCGTGTTATCTACCTTTATATTTTCTAATACAACTCCTATCACATGTTCACCACTGTATTTTTGATCATTAACGAAATTTGATTTAATTTGAAAGAATACTCCACTCATAATCTTCTTTATCTAAAAATAAATATTAACTTATCTAAACTATACATTTATGTACATATATATTAACTTATCTAAACTATACATTTATGTACATATATATTAACTTATCTAAACTATACATTTATGTACATATATAAGCACCCAAACAAACAAATCAGAATGGTTTGTTTTACCCATTTCGAGATTTTTAAGGTTTTATTAGATTTACTGTAGAGAAAACCTTACAAATTAAAAAACAAAAACAGTTGCCAGTTTTTATATCTTTACATAAACTTACATTTTACACTCAAATTTAACATAATGATGCTTTGTAATCATAAATATTGGCTTAACTAATCTTTTTTTGGAATTAAACCATGCTAATTCTCACCAGCTCATATGTCTTATATGTACTCACCAGTTCATATGCACCTTATACGTTCTTATATACTCTATATATGATATACTCTATATATGTATGTATGTATGTATGGTATATATATGTATATATAATATATATACATATATATATAGCAAGCAAAAATCAAATATATGTATATGTTTAAACTCACACGTCACTGTTTATAATCACATATCACTACAAGAATCCCATATTCCTCTTACAAAATCTCTGTAAATGTTAGAGCTGTATTAAAGTAGAGATCCAGCTATATTGCAATATTGATTAGCATGGGATAGAGTGCAGGCGAATTTGTTACAGGGACACGCCCTCGGCCCATCTCATTAACATAGACTATTTTTTCGCTTAGAACGTCTCACTACTCCTCTGTTCTTTTGGATTCTTACAATTCTACAACCTGTTCTTAAAATCAACCCACCCATAGCTACCTGACTAGACAGCTCTTTTGTCACCAATATGCATTGATTGTATCGTAAAACCAAATAAAAATAATTTTCTTGTTATCTCCTAATGAGAGCTCTGAAGCTCAGTTTAATAGTTCCGGTCGGCAGTACCCAAACTCTGTGTAACGTCTCAAAGAGGCTGATTATATTAACAGGTATTGACAAATCAAAGACTTTTAATTAAGTCTGGCATGATGGTCTTTTTTATAAGCTGGTTTTACATAGTAAAGTTCATCTAGAAAAGTTTGTCTCAAAAAATATATAAAATCTAGGAAAGTTTTTTAACTGATCAATCATTCCTTTCTAACAATCCGATAACTGATACAGTCTTAATAATTGACACAGTCTTGATAATTGACACAGTCTTGATAACTGACACAGTCTTGATAATTAACACAGTTTTTCTCCCTAAACTATTTAATTGCTTAATCGCTCTTAAATCGGAAAATGGAATTTGTGATTCCAATTTTTAGAAACCCTCAAGATTTCTCAGATTCTTCAATTGCTTAACCTTAACTAATTGCTTCTAATATTTGCTAGATCAAATTATTTTGATTTAATTAATAATCTCATCCTAAAAATTTATCTCATCTTATCTCTCATTTTAAGCCTAAAAACTTATCTCATCTTATCTCTCATCTCAAGCCTAAAAACTTATCTTATCTTATCTCTCATCTTAAGCCTAAAAACTTATCTCATCTTATCTCTCATCTTAAGCCTAAAAACTTATCTTATCTTATCTCTCATCTTAAGCCTAAAAACTTATCTTATCTTATCTCTCATCTTAAGCCTAAAAACTTATCTTATCTTATCTCTCATCTCAAGCCTAAAAACTTATCTTATCTTATCTCTCATCTTAAGCCTAAAAACTTATCTCATCTTATCTCTCATCTTAAGCCTAAAAACTTGCTCTCGGCAATTATTGAAAACTTTCTAACCACAGGAATAAAGTTATCCCTGAAAGTCAACATACTTCTTCATTTATAAAAGGTACAGCAAAACTCCATCCAGTGTTAATCCAGTGTTGTTCCATATCTATATTAATGATCCTCCTGATATTCTTACCTTTAAAGCTCTTTAAAGAAAAATGGTTATTACATTTTGATTGCTTAAGACATCTCAACCTCTTTCTCTTTTTAAAAAATGATTGCCATGGTCATTCCTCAAACAAGGTACTATCGGATGTTCCATCAAACAAAACTCAATCTTGCATGTCATTCAGCTAAGTCACAACGTTTTACTTTAACTAACTTGTTGTCGTGATAGTGATGATGATGACAATGATAGCTGAGTTTTTATATTATTGTAATTGTAAATAATTATGCTTGAACTTGTTGAAACCATATCATGTAATACAGATTATAATAAATCACGTTCAGATGACATATTTCTAACATTCATATGATATATTTCTCACATTTATACGATATATTTCTCATATTCAGATGATATATTTCTCACACTCATATAATATGTTTCTCACATTCAGGAAATACATTTCTCACATTCAGATGATATATTTCTCACATTTATATGACATTTCTCACGTTTAGACAATAATAATAATTTTGATTTTCACACATGTTGTATTGCAATAAAAAATCATTTTTTTGTGGCGTGTCGAAATTTAACAAATTATTTTAGAATACATTTTTTTTATTGAATAAATTTTTTTTTATTGAATAACAATCACAACTAAAATAATACTTAAATAAAGAAAAAAAAGTAAAGAAAACTATTTCAAATGTATCTGCTCTTACCTAAATTTGGCCCTAAAATTAGATCTATATAATAAGATTAAGTTTCAAATATTTCCTTATAAAACATATTATTAGATGTCGCTCAAGACACTCAAACACTAGAAGAGTTAATAATATTATTAAACAATTTTTTTATTTATAATTTTAAGTTTTTCAAGCTAGGTCTCAAAAGAATTCCAACTCAAATGTTAGTTGTGAACTGGTTCTAGTTCTGGTTCACAAAATGAAAATACCTATTTTTTGCTTGGTTTTAGAAAAAATTGAGTGCATGTCAATCATTACCAGGGCCAACGACACAGGTTTTGAAGTGGGAGGGTGGGGTGAGCACAATCGTAAATTTAAAAAAAAAGTCTTCTATATCTAAAATTTTCTCAATAAAAAAAAAAAAGAACCTTTACAAAAAAAGTATGTATGGGGGGGGGGGAGGAGGGGGGAGGAGATGACACTAGTGTGCCCACCCAGTGTCGTCATTAGTGTGTAGATGTTTATTTAGTTTTATTTAGATGTTTATTTAGTTTTATTTAATGCTTATTTTAAATTATAAAATCAATGCAAAAATAATATAAAACTATTAAAGTTATTTGTATACAAAAATTACTTAAATTAATGCAAACATATACATAAGTGTGTGTGTGTGTGTGTGTGTGTGTGTGTTTATATATATATATATATATATATATATATATATATATATATATATATATATATATATATATATATATATATATATATATACATATATATATATATATATATATATATATATATATATATATATATATATATATATATATATATATATATATATATATATATATATATATATATATATATATATCAGTGGTGTACACTGGATTTTTAGATGTTTGAGTTTTGACACTTACAGGCATTGGGCAAACTCCAAACTTTTGTATGTTCATGTTTATGTCAAATGAGAATGTTTTGCAAAGAGTTGTGGTGATTGGAGCTTGGGGACAAAAAAACCCTAATTTTTGGGCCCACCCAGCCCTTAACGTGGGAGTAACAAGTTTATAAAGTAATTTCTTTAGTATTTTTATCTAAATTTATATTCATCAACAAATTTCTAATTTCATGCAATAACCTCTTAGTGTTTAGTTTTTATGACCTTACAAAGTTTACAGCCCCCTCAAATTGAGAAGGGTTAAAACTTTATATGGTCATAATTTTTGAAAATTAGGAGATTATTGCATGAAATTTGAAATTTGTTGATGAATATAAACTTAGATAAAAATACAAAAGAAATTATTTTATCAACTTGTCGCTCCCACGTTAAAGGTGGGCCCAAAAATTGTTTTTTTTTGTCCCCAAGCTCTAATCATTGCAACTCTTGCAAAACATTCTCATTTGACATGAACATACAAAAGTTTAACGTTTGGACAATGCCTGTAAGTGTCAAAACTCAAACATCTAAAAATCACTGTATATATATATATATATATATATATATATATATATATATATATATATATATATATATATATATATATATATATATATATATAGAGAGAGAGAGAGAGAGAGAGAGAGAGACAAAATATAATTCCCCAACATAATAAATACATTGTAAATATTTAAGTTCACATAAACAAGCTCAAGCAATTAAAATTATCTTTCAAATAGTTAAAGACAATACTACCTTTTCAAGTAAAGCTTCTTTACTATTACTTAAATTTTCCACGCTTGCTTTTCCTTCAGAAAATCCTCTGTCATAAGAAGAAGCCGAAATAACTTTAACTGTACTACGACCAGCTGCAACACCTTTTTCATAAGATTCTACGAGTTCCTGATAAAAATCATGAAAATATTAAAACTTCTAATAGTTGTCTGAAATTTAGATGTTAAAAAACGATTAAACATACAGACTGCAACTTTTCTATACTTCGATTTTTTTCATTTGTTTCTTTGAGTAAATCTTCACTTAAAGTTTTCATCTAAACAATAATTTCTAGTTTAAATATATATAACTTAATAAAATATATATAAAAACTTAACAAATAAAGGAATACAGAGGCTTTTGTTTCTTGCAACTGATTGAGAAGCTCTGCATTTTTAATTTCTAAATTGTCAACTTGCAGTTTATGCATTGATATCAAAGAATCCTTTGAATGTTGGAACTCAAATCTTTCTGTTGCTAGCTGTTCTTTCAGCTGAAGTTATTAAACATTAAAAACAAGTTATAGAAAAAGTAATCAGCAATATAAATATCAAAATTAGGTTATAAAAATGTGTATTAACCATTTTTAAACTGTGTATCAACCATTATTAAAATGTGTATCAACCATTATTAATATGTGTATCAACAAGAATTACTTGTTAATCAAATAACTAGAAATGTAACTAACTTGCTTTAATGCATCTTCTTTCTCTTTTTGGAGGTTCATTATATCACTATTGTGTTTTTCATTTAGTTTTGTTAATTTTTCAGCAACTTCATTTTCATATTTTAACTTCAATTCATTTTCAAGTGCAACCAGCTTCAAGTTAAAAGAAAAATGAATATATAATTTAAACAATAACTAGTTATATATTAAAAAAGCAATACATTAATTATTTTTTTAAATAATTAAAAAAACATTAAACACCAATTTTTAAGACTTTTTTTTTAATAAAATATGCAATAAAATGTTTTTTTTTTGTTTTTTTTTAAAGCGCATATTTTTTTGTTTAGTTATATATACCTAAATTATTATTTTTTTAAAAGAATAATATAATTATAATATATAACCAAACAAAAAGGTAAGAAAAAAAATTTTTTTTTAAAGAGAATTATAAAATAATCAAGTTTGTTTTTTATTAACTTTTTGATTTAAAAGTACATATCAAACTTAAACGCGAGTACAAATTTCACACTTTTTTTAAAGCCTGTTGACACTTTAGACCTAGCATTTTTAGAAGGCTGCAATGGTGATACTATGAAAATATCAATAATAAAATAAAAACAAACAGCAACTTAAATATTCAAACACAATTAGTTTGAATTAAAAAAAAAAAAAAATTGAAATAGTTTAAATGAAAGAATTTAAATAAATGTTTGCATTGTTTTAGAATTTCTTAGTATTTTTCTCTTACTGCTCTTCTACTTTGAGTACTTTTTATGCTTGTCTAAACATTTTTTTTTTGTTTTTTTTTCTACATTACAAGCTTGTTTTTTGGACATTTTCATTGTTGTGCTTAACTTTTATTATTATTGTTATTATTATTATTATCTTAATAATTTTTTTTTTCAATTTTGAACTTGAATCTAAAACTAAAAAAAAATCTCAGTAAAAAACTAAAAGATCTCAGAACTTATGAGAGCAAGTTCTACTCTAAAGCTAAAACAATTTTTTTTTTTTAATAAACAATTTATATATTTTTTTCTTATTTTTGTGGGTTAAAGCTGCTGTTGAGTTTACTTATATATTTAGTATAGTCATTTTACATATATTATTTATTTAAACTTAATTATACACCATTATAATTTATTTATATTTATTTATACACTATGTCTTTCATTATCAAAAAGATAACGAATTGCAAAGAGATCATAAATACCATGCAAAAGAATAAAGAGAAAAAGAATAAAAAAAAAAAAAAAGAAAAAGAATAAAAGTTATAAAGACTATAAATAAAGTTATAATTAAAAATGTTTTACATAATAATAATTAATTGTTTTACATTCTTAATATTCCAATAAACTCAATAAACTTTTAAAATATTTCAACAAAAAAAAAACACCTTATCAACACCTGAACTTTTTCGAAAGTTTTGCTTTAAAGATTGAAGTTCTTCCTAAAGTAAAAAAAAAGTTTTAATTTTAGTAAACTTGTTATAACTGATGAAAATGAAAAAAAAAAAAAGAAGTTGGCAATCAAACCAAATTTAATTCTCTAATTTTGTTAACCATAGACAATTTTATTTTTATTAAAAAAACTATTATCAACAATATTTAGTACAAAATTCTTTATTAAATTTTCATTTTTATTTTATTATTAAATGTTTATTTTCATATTTATTCAAATATAAATTACATTTTCAATAAAACTTTGTCAGAAAAGTTTCATTTAAAACTAATATTTGAAATTATTATTTTATAATTGCAGTTATCATAAGTGCTTAATTTATTTATGACACAAGATAGAAGATAACTCTTTTCCCTATATGTTAAGCAGAGTTTACACATCAAGCTATTCTCTTTTTGCCACCAAAGTCATTACGTCTTTAAGATAAAAAAATCAGATAAAAAAAATGAAACAGGCTACCATATCTTGGAGTTTACCAATTTTTTTAAAATCAAATTTTCACATGTAGTTTAATTAATTAAAAATTTTTATTAAAAACTCTTCATTCTTACTTTTAATTTAAAACATTTAGTTTAACAAATAATAATAAAAATAATATTAAATAATATTATGAACATTTAAAAAATGTTCATATGTGTAGTATTTACTATTTTTTTTACAACAATTTTTAATCATTTTATTACTTATTATAATGAATAAATACAAAATGTAAATAAAAATAATTAAAAAAATAAGTAAATAATTTTACATAAACTCAGAATTTAATAATAAACTAGAGTTATTTATTATTTATAAAGTTATCATCTTTTTTCTAATTTGAAGATTCCATCAATGATGAGTTCAAAATTAATTTAAAAAAAAAAACATTTTAAGGAGACAATTGATTTTAACTAGAAGAAATAGAAAACAATTTGTTAAAATATAAACAGACAAACATTTCATACAAGCATGTGTAAAAATGTAAAGGCATTATAAATTTGTTAACAACAAATTATAAACATATTTAAATGTAAAAATTTAATTAGATTAAATCAAGAGTTTTGTAAAACTAAAATTCTTGAAACCAAAATATTTATCAACAAATAAAAGTTGACCTCGTGACTAGATTTTAATATTTCCGTTTCCTCTTCCCACTTTCTTTGTGCATCTTTCATTTTTTTCTTTAAATCAACTACATTCTAAAAATTTATTAAAATCATTTTTTCAAATACCCAATATTGCTTTAAAATCCTTTTAAAGTATTATGCATTGAATTTTCAATTACTTTTCCTAACTCATTTTTCTCTTGTAACATTTCTGTATGCTCCTCCTCTAACTGAACCAGTTTGTTTTGGAGTTGTTTTGACTCTTTTTTTTCAGCAACAAGTTTTTTATTTAGTTCATCGATTATAGTTTCTTGCTCTGTAAAAAATAATTTAACATATCTAATATAACACATACTTAACTCTCAACTTTAAATTTAATAACTTTAAAGCAGCAATAAAATATAAATATAAAAAAAATGTTCTTAAGGATTCAATTCTTAACATTGTATAACTTCGAGCTTATTTAGACTTCATGAGGCTAGCCATATTTTATTTTCATTTTAATTTAAAAAAGTAAATATATACATATTTAACAAATATATTTTTTATATATGTAATATATATATATAATGAGGTTATTTTTTGGATTTTTTGCTTTGCGTATTCTAATATTGCAAATTAGTATTCAACTAACCGTATCAATTTAAGAACATTTATTCCCGAAGGACAGTTTAAAATAAAATCTTATTAAAAAAACATTAACAATATCACTATTACCTAGGCAATCGTGACAATAAATAAAGAAAAGAATAAAGAAAAGAAATAAATAATGAAAAGAACAAAAGAAAAGAAATAAGTATCAAATATACAAATAAAAAGTAAAAATTGCTGAATTATCAAAAAAAAATTTATTTAAGAAGGAAAAAAAAATTATATTTAAACTATATTCGAATTGCAAAAGCTTATTAAAAAAAAGCTTATCAGTAATTGCAATATAATTAAATGACAGATCCATATTTAAAAACTCATCATCCCCATAAAAAACCTACATTAGCCAATCTTGAATGACTTCTTGACAGAATAACATTTCTTGAAAATGAGAATAAAGAACTCAAGAATCAATTGAAAAATAGTGCAATAAAAAAACTGCCTTGCTCACAGAAAACTGGGTACTATAAGCAAAAAAAAATTTAAATAAACCTGAAAAACAGTCAACAACTATCAATGCAGTATTTATTGAGCAACAACAACCCAAAAAAAGAGAAAAAATGTCATAATTTATGGCGTTCTAAGCTCCAAAAAACAATTCGTTTCAAAATAGCCAATGATGATAAACTTAAAATTGACAACATATTTAATGCCATTGTCAAACACGATCTTAAACCAACACTGATTAGAAGACTAATCTGCCCACAACCCACTTCTTGCAGCACTAAGGCAACATCAATTGTAAATAAATTTGAAGAATTTACATTAGCAATTGATAAATATAAACCTCACATCATTTGAATCACTGAAACATGGTTTAAAGAAGACTTACTTTTCAATCTAAATAAATATTCATTATAAAGACAAGACAAGATTTTGTTTGAAGAGCCAATAGGGTTGTTATCTACATTTCTACCAACTTAAACTCGTTAAAACAATTTACATCAGGTTGTGCAATGATAAAGTTAAACAAATATGGGTAACTTTACTAATTAAAAAAAATAGATACTAATTGGATGCATTTACAGACCCCCAAACAGCAATACTGTTATAGAGATTAATGAGTCTATTTGCGCTGCGAAAAAATAATTTAGATAATTAAAACTATCATTGTGTACTTGTAATGAGAGACTTTAACTTTTCAAAATTATTATTAAAAAATGGAAATGTATATTGACTTTTTAATAACAAGGGGTCGCTAGACCAGGCATTTGTAAATACAGTTGAAGATTGTTTTCTAACTCAACACGTTGACACCCCAACTTTTCAAACACAAATAATAAAATGGCACTTTAGAGGAACTCTTGATTTGATTCAAATACAAAATTTTTCAAACTCAAATACAAAATAGCACTTTAGAGGAACTCTTAATTAATTCTTACTGAACAAAATAATCGGGTCTGTATCACTTAAGTATAATCCGAAACTTAGAGACTGTGATAAAGGCCATCTAGCACTTGGATAGTTTTTTCAATAACTCATAATAGTTTAAGTTCCAAAAGTATGGCTTTTAGTTGTGGAAATTACAAAAATATGAAACCCTTCTTTGACAATGTGAACTGGACTCAGTTATTTTATGAAAAAACAATCAAACAACATGACATATTTTTATATTACTATAGTATTGGAATTAAAAAACTATTTCGTATTACATTAGACATCCGCGCGTCAACTCATGGTCCAACAAACATATTGTTAATCTAACTTGAACTTGTGCCAGTGGATAGAAACAAAAAGACAAAACTAATAATTATAAAGCACT